GGAGGCAGATTTTTGACATTTTACCTTTTTCCCATTTTCAGATATAATAAACACGCACAAAACAAAAGTAAACGGCCAGAACACAAAGCTGTAAAACCCACCCGATTGACAAAAATCAACTCAAAATTCTCCCACACAACAGAACCTCCTCTATATTCCTCGCTGGCTCCAAATCTCTCAGTGGAATGATCAGTGGTTCGCTGTCACCATCAAAACACTCCACAAATCCCGTGAATGATTCGCTTCCTTATAAACCATTGAATCAGACATCGAAGCAGTTAGGTTCTAAATGAAGCTTCGGACGTCACTGATCACGTGACTCTGGCCAAACGAATCAAGCTTCGATACAGTGCTTCTGAAGCAGTGTGTTGATTTTTTTGACACACGCGCCGGAGCTTCAGCTTCAAGCGGGCCATCACTAGCTCCACGCAAGATCTCATCCCGTGGGGTCAAAATGATCATGAGAACGGTGAGCAAAGATCCCAGAACCACACGGGGGGACCTGGTGAATGACCTGCAGAGAGCTGGGACCAAAGTAACAAAGGTCACCATCAGTAACACACTACAACGGCAGGGAATCAAATCCCGCAGTGCCAGACGTGTTCCGCTGCTGAAGCCAGTGCATGTCCAGGCCCGTCTGAAGTTTGCCAGAGAGCACATGGATGATACAGCAGAGGATTGGGAGAATGTCATGTGGTCAGATGAAACCAAAGTAGAACTTTTTGGTATAAACTCAACTCGTCGTGTTTGGAGGAAGAAGAATACTGAGTTGCATCCCAAGAACACCATACCTACTGTGAAGCATGGGGGTGGAAACATCATGCTATGGGGCTGTTTTTCTGCCAAGGGGACAGGACGACTGATCCGTGTTAAGGACAGAATGAATGGGGCCATGTATCGTGAGATTTTGAGCCAAAACCTCCTTCCATCAGTGAGAACTTTGAAGATGAAACGAGGCTGGGTCTTCCAACATGACAATGATCCAAAACACACCGCCCGGGCAACAAAGGAGTGGCTCCGTAAGAAGCATTTGTGTTGTGATATTTTGATACCATGGTAGCATTTACAGGATATTGTTTTATAGTGATATTATACAGGAAAACTTTTACTCAATAAGGCCCATTTACTAGTTGTTTTTCTCTTTCTCTGTGACCCAAGAATTAATGTGTAAGAATCACAGGATGGTACCTCAAGGTTGAAAACACCACAGAGATCACTCCCTTACTCCCATCCTCCCTTCTTTATCTCTTAGAAAAAGGCTCGTTAAAGGCCAGGTGGTTCGTTTCAGAATTCACTAATGAAAGAACTCTGTATTCTATGTCTAGGAGTGTATTTTGCTGGGATGATCATAAATTGTAGCTGAACTGATAAACTACACAAAGGATACTTCTTTGCTCACAAGGAAGGAAGACGTTTCCTTATTTGGTCTGTACTGGTTTGAACTGAGAACCTGCTGACACACGAACCTTTTTCCTCTATATAAGCTGTTGTATGATAAATAAACCTTTGAGTCGATTTGGGAAGGCAACCTGAAGCAGTCTGTGTTTCCTTGTTCTCCCAAGCTGCTCCCGACGTCGCAACTAACCCAGCTGAGCGGCATACCTGAGTGTTACTTTGAATAATTAGGAATCTTATAAGGAAAGGACAAAACTCTGCTTATCGGTGCTCACGCCTTGGAGGGAAACCGGGATGGAGATTTTCTCTTCAATTTGAAAGTCCTGGAGTGGCCTAGCCAGTCTCCAGACCTCAACCCCATAGAAAATCTGTGGCGGGAGTTGAAAGTCCGTGTTGCTCGGCGACAGCCCCAAAACATCACTGCTCTCGAGAAGATCTGCATGGAGGAATGGGCCAAAATACCAGCTACTGTGTGTGCAAACCTGGTAAAGACCTATAGTAAACGTTTGACCTCTGTTATTGCCAACAAAGGTTATGTTACAAAGTATTGAGCTGTATTTTTGTTATTGACCAAATACTTATTTTCCACCCTGGTTTACGAATAAATTCTTTACAAATCCTACCATGTGGATTCATGGATTTTTTTTTCACATTCTGTCTCTCACAGTTGAAGTGTACCTCTGGTGCAAATTACTGACCTCTGTCATCATTTTAGGTGGGGGAACTTGCACAATCGGTGGCTGACTAAATACTTTTTTGCCCCACTGTATGTGAATTATATAATGTTAAATTACTATTAAACAAATGACTAAGTATTTTAGGCTTTAGTTTACTTCAGCCATATTCCATATAAATCAGGTATCATACAAAAATAACAATAGCTTCAAATACAGTCATGACAATAAAAGAATATGACTTTAAGGACTTAACAACATTACTTCAGTTATAGTGCACCAACACCTGTTATAGCACTAAGGGAACACTGAATGACCTGGTGGTTTTTGTCCATAAAACTACTCATCTAAGATTATCACAAAGTAAAAGATCTCTCAGCAAAATTATGCAACATTTTAGGCACTACTGCCCCGATCAAATCAGTGAGCTGGGATTTCTTATTCTAAACAGGAACTACTGTTACAGCTACTGGTGCCCCACACAACAACTCAATGTCCACTATGTGAAGGAGCCAAACACATGCCTTCTCCTCTCATTAACTGAGATAAACTGCTGGCATATTTGTTTTACATCTATACTGTCCAGTCTCTCCTGGTGGACATGGCATACAGCAGCATTGTTTAATCTCATTTGAGTCATTGTTAACCGTAGCCATCTTTTTAGTCTTCTGAGAGCACTGAAGCTTCTTTCAGCCTCAGTACCTGCGTTTTATCCTCAGATTAAAATTATTATTATGTGCTTGATGTGCCTCACCTTTGGCCCTGGCTCTTCCCCTCTGACTGCACTAGGACATATTGCCACCTGATAAAATAACACATTGATTCGTGCCATATAAAAAGTGAGACATGTCAATTCAGATTCTTTGTCAAATGTACACTAATGAATATATTTACATCAGCAGCCTAACAATTGTTATGATAATAAATACTAGTTAATCTATAGCACCAAATCATCAGTCAGTCACCTGTGACCTCGCCTCTTCACCTCTGTCCGAGCTACAACATGGCAGAGCTGCCTCTGTCGCCTGATAAATAACAGTGAGACATTCCAAATACATGCAGTCACACATGTGCTTCAAATACAGTAATGAACCAACAAGTCATCATCCAATTCCACCTGTGATCTTGTATCACCATTACTCTCTGAGCTCTGTGTTGGTTCTTCTGTCACCTGACAAATAGGACAAACATGACAATAAGAATAAAATGTGTAGCTGCTTCAGTGTTTCTGTCACTTTGTGCAGATCTTGACTCATCAGTAATGTTTGTAGGGTGAGTGCATTTGTAAAACAATTTGTGCAAACTGCACTACAAGGTGGAATATTTGTAAAATCATGACTACCTCATGATATATTGTCTCAAAAATTAACCCTGTGAATATGTCAGTGCCATTAGGATGAAATTATTGTGTCACCAACATTTTAACGTTAGACATATAATTTTAACAGCCTCTGTAAACTAATATCCTGGCTGCTCGAGGCTGCCGTTTTCTCTGACAGTTTCAATCAAAATTAGAAATGCTACTCTGAGACTGAGAGAACTAATAGTGCCGCCTGTTGTGCAGTTAGTTTCCAAAACACGTTATTCATGGCTACATACAATTTTAGACTGATGTGGGCCAAAGCCTAGCATAGCCTGTAACGTTATTATGACGGACATATTTTATGAGTGAACTTGACTTTAAGTAACTTTAAGTAACAGGTTTCTTTGAAAAATACTTATATCCAGGTTCTTCCTTTTTGCTGCCATCCTGCTCTCCTCCTTGCAGGTCCTCACTGCGCAGGCTTGCCGCTGCTAAAACTAAACAGAGCTCCCTGAAAGGCACAGCCAATCACATTGGCCATATTTGTCACATGACGTAGGACTCTTTCTGCACCACTGGGTGAATGAGACATTGACAGATCGTTTTTTTTTTCTTTCTATCGGGTTTGTTTTTCTTTACTCAAAGAGATCAAATTATTGGTGGGAACAATTCAATAATCGCTGGACATGTCCCTTCCGTTCATGCCAAATCTACGCCCTTGGGGTCCGCCTCTTTCTTGCTCCAGAAACAGTTCACTAAAAGTCAAGGGTGACATTGGTCATACACACAACACACCGAGTGCCTTAGTGACAGGAGGGTCTGGAGCACTTTTAAAGCGCACCCAAGAAATCCTGGAGGTGACTGAAATTCAAATTCCAACAGCACAGATCTAAAAGTGGCAGAGTGAACTCTTTAGGCCCTTTAGACTTATCTGACAAGAGAAAGAATCGAGTCTAAGCAAATATTCAGATGTCAGAAACTTTAGTAGACCAGTTTTACTTGGAACGCTTCTCTGTTCATTCATATATCTGTCTTGCGTAAAAAAAAAGTGCGTAAAAGCTTCCTACAGTCCTAACAAGGACTGTTTTTTGTTTGTTTTGTTTTGTTTTTTAAAGAGGAGGAATCTTTCAGGTTCTACTGCTACTGCCTTGGGTGTCAGCGACTCTTCTCTGGTGCATTGAACTATTGCCAGCATTTCCCCAACAATCCATCAACCTCTGGCCACCCTGGGAGAAAAAAAAGAGTTTGTTTGCCATTGTCTTTAAATTATTAAGTATCACAATTGTAATTAGATCATAATTACCTGATCACTCCCAAGATTTTCTCTGAAATGCTTGACAAGAGTAGAAGAAAAAATTCGAATATAAGTGAGTACTGTACTCTGACAGGAATTAAACTTTCAGTTTCAGACAACGATTAGACAATTCTTAAAAAAACAAACAAACCAAATAACAAGTGGACAGAGCCTTTTAACACTTAACTTTTAACACTCTGATCATTATATGAAATGTAATGATTTATCATCGTTGTTTTTCCAATAAATCTCATTTCCTAGTGTAAGGATGTTGGAGGGCAAAAAAGAAAAAAGTTTTACCAACCGGTAGGACCTGCACTCTGAACTCGATTACTTCCGCCTAGAATCGATAGCAGAGCGGAGGCTGTCGCTGATGCAACACTGACCGGTCCGTTCAGCCGGTTTCTCTCACCCAGGACTCTTTGAAAGGAGACGGTTTTGAGGTAAGTCGGCTACTGTGCAGTGTGATTTTACCGTAGAACGACATTGCTGTGAGATAAACAAAAAAAATGTAGCAATTAGAAAAAAGCAGCTGAATCGATTATAACCACAGGAGATAGGTAACGTTAGCTGCACATGGTTTTCTCGCTAATTAGATCCTTCATTCATCGGTGGAAGTTAGCTAAATTTATAGGCTACATGCTGAATTTTAGCAAATTTACCGGGGAAAGATGTGCTTTTTCATTTTTATTTTTGGGTTAATTGCGTCTTTTTCAAAACTACCGTTATGTTCATTGGCTAGCCTGCACAGCCTATGGAGCATCAAAGTGAAGTTTATTACATGAATACGGCTTATAGACAGCAAACTGAGCTGCAGTATTTTTAATTTTTTAAAACGCGCAAAATCTATATGCATTACTGTTTTGTTTCAGTGGAAAAAAACATGGCAGTCAGGCGAATGTTAGTCATACCTGTCTGTAGCCAAGATCAACAATAAACCGAAAGCAATTTAACTGGAACTCCCTTATTAAGAACCCCAGGAGGATGACCACTGTGCTTGTGTTATAGTCGGAGTACCCAGCGCCATGGCAGATCAGCTGAGTCCAGATGAGAAATTTAACCTCATCACCAGGAACCTCCAGGTGGGACACGCAGGCAGCTGCTCATTGTTACTGGAGCATACAGGTCACACTCACATGTTTCTGCTCGTGTGTGTATTGCAGGAGGTCCTTGGAGAGGAGAAGGTGAAGCAGGTCCTTCAGGAGAGAGCGCTCAGGGTTTACTGGGGCACAGCAACCACTGGCAAACCCCACGTAGCTTACTTTGTCCCCATGTCTAAGATAGCAGACTTCCTCAAAGCTGGATGTGAGGTGGGTGTGGCAGAGCTGACTATGGTTTTATTTGTAGTTACTATTAAATTAAAACAGCCTTTTTACTCCCTCTTCTACCTTTCCTTAGGTCACTGTTCTGTTTGCAAACTTGCATGCTTACCTAGACAACATGAAAGCTCCCTGGGAGCTGCTGGAGCTCAGGGTCAAATACTATGAGCAGGTTATCAAGGCCATGCTGGAGAGCATCAGTGTGCCTCTGGATAAACTCAAGTTTGTCAAAGGAACTGACTTCCAGCTCAACAGGTCTGTTTGCTGATTCAGAGGCTGATCTGACATCCACTCGTTCAACTTTACAGTCTCTTAAAACTTGCCTGTAGCTGCAGCTCATACTGAACATGTAGGTGTTACCATGTTTTCCAGGGAGTACACTATGGATGTGTACCGCCTGTCCTCCATGGTGACAGAGCACGATGCTAAGAAGGCTGGAGCTGAGGTGGTGAAACAGGTGGAGCATCCTCTCCTGAGTGGTCTGCTGTACCCCGGCCTACAGGTAGTAATGCTCTTCATAGAATTGAGACGCTGGTGTCATCACACTGTGACAATGCAGTAGTTGAAGTTTCTCAGATGTGTCCGTGTCACAGCTTAGTATTATTCACAGTAACTGTATCTTGTGTTTTTCCTCATGCCCTCAGGCTCTGGATGAGGAGTATTTGAAAGTGGATGCTCAGTTTGGAGGTGTTGACCAGAGGAAGATTTTCACTCTGGCAGAGAAGGTATCCTACACCTTTGCACATTTACAGAGGTTTTTCCTTTAGTTTTAGCTCAAGTCCTCTGCAGCCTCCCAGCAGCGCACAGCTGCTAATGACTCTTTAGTCATTAGCAGCACTAATGTACTGGATTCCTTTGAATCCAGTACATTAGTGCTGTGACTTATCATACCTTCCACAATAACACTGGTATATCTTGTGAAACTGGTGATATAGTGATGCATTTCTGTTTGCTAGTGTGGGCAGCAATGGCCTAAGCCCACTTATGTCTGAGTGCGAGAGCGGTGTGTGAGCTTCCAATGACGATTTGTTACCTAAAAAGGGAGCAGCTGTATGCCAATAGTGTGGTAGTGGTTTGCCTGTAAGCGGCACGCACTTTGCAAACTATGAAAGTAAACGGTAAACATCAAACCGGTTTCACTACTTGATGCAAAAACGCACTGAGAATATGAAAACAAAGTTGAAGGAGGAAATCCGCGAGAGATATAAAAATATCTCTTATAATATATAAGATGAGGAAAATAGTGGACAATACCTCCCACCCACTCCATGACGTGCTGGCTAGTCACAGGAGCACGTTCAACAAGAGACTGAGATTCCACAAATGCACCACCGAGTGACAAAAGAAATCATTCCTGCTTGTGGCTTATATCCCAGTACAACTCGTCCATCTAAGGCACAGTACAAAGTCAATAGTTACACCCTTTTTAAACATGTTCTAAAGTGAAAGTAACAAATAAACCAACTTTACTGGTTAGAGTTAACTGTCAGTCATATATATTTCATCTCTGTGATATTCTGGATATTCATAATTGAGCTATTTGTATATATTATATTACATCCAGAGAGGAATGGGAAGTTCATTTACTTTCCTCTTCCTGCACTCTTATGAATGTAGTGTGCTGTAGGGATTACTTTTTTAACCCCGAAGTTAGCCTGACTTTGATGCTTCAAAGGTCGTGGTGCTCTCACAAAAAGCCAAACGAGTTTTTCTGTTATAGAAGATGTAGAACATTTATTCTGTTATTATCAGAGCGTCAGATCCAGTTCTTTACCTTTCTGAGAATTTTAAGGTTTTCTCTCATGTCAGCTTCTATATTTAGTTACATGTGAAAGTGTGATAACAGACTAGTACAGAATTGATAACGTTCAGCTGTTCAAGCTTTTAACCTGTGTTGTTCGGCAGTACCTGCCCTCTCTCGGCTACGCTAAACGTGCCCACCTGATGAACCCGATGGTGCCGGGGCTGACGGGGGCTAAGATGAGCTCTTCAGAAGAGGTAAGGTCATATAAACTTAGTTTGTCATGGAAGGAAGTGATTGGAGTTCAAGATTTTGACGGGAAATTTTCTCAACACTCCGTCCATCTTCATTTTATTATCTGTTTTTGCTTCCAGGAATCGAAAATCGATCTCCTGGACTCCAAAGAGGATGTAAAGAAGAAGCTGAAGAAGGCTTTCTGTGAGCCGGGCAACATCCAGAACAATGGAGTTCTCTCTTTTGTCAAATATGTCCTCTTCCCTCTACGAGGAGGTAGAAACAATTTTTCAATCTCTTCCTGCAACCTGGCTTCAGACTTCCTTTTTTTTCGGCAAATCAATTTGAATAATCAAATGAGTTGATCATTTGTACTGTTGTGTTTCAGTGTTCTCCATCAAGAGAGATGCAAAGTGGGGCGGAGACAAAGTTTACAGTGTGTTTGAGGAAGTGGAGAAGGACTTCGTTGCAGAGGTGAAGGACGCCTTAACTGGTTTATTTGAACAATGAAGTCTTCCCGTAACGAGCTCTGGTTTAACCTGTAGTTAACTGCTGTTTATAGATGATCCACCCTGGAGACCTGAAGGCCTCTGTGGAGGATGCACTAAATGAGCTACTGGAGCCAATTAGAAAGAAGTTCGAGTCTCCTGAGCTCCGTAAACTTACCAGCAACGCCTATCCTGATCCCTCCAAGACAAGTCAGTGTCAAACCGTGTGGCTGCTGTGGCTTAAAGCGGGAGTGGCTTCATACTGAGACTTAATGCTGTCTTACTTGTGTGTTATTAGAAGCAGGAGGGAAGGGCGTTAAGGCCGGAGGAGATGGTGGTGGAGGAGAGGACGATGAGCTGGCTCCATCCAGACTGGACATCAGAGTGGGAAAGATCCTCAGTGTGGAGAAGGTAAGTTATTGTCATTTCATTATAATCAGAACTTTTACATCATTGGATAATCACTGTGGAACTTAAAAATAATTTCCCCCCTCTGTAGCATCCAGACGCTGAGTCTCTGTACCTGGAGAAGATCGATGTAGGAGAGCCTGAGCCGAGGACGGTAGTCAGTGGGCTGGTGGCCTACATTTCACAGGAGGACCTGCAGGACAGACTGGTGTTGGTGCTGTGCAATCTGAAACCCCAGAAGATGCGTGGGATCGAGTCTCAAGCCATGCTGCTGTGTGCCTCTATGTGAGTTTCATTTTTGGGGGCTGGGTTGTTTTGTTTTTTTGCACAAAGTGAAATTTAGCTTAAATTTCCAACTCCTCCGATCTCTGTTTGTTTTCCAGTGAGGGCGAGCCCAGAAAGGTGGAGCCTCTGGATCCTCCAGAAGGTTCGTTGCCAGGGGACAGGGTCTTTGTGGAAGGGTATGAGTCAGGCAAGCCAGATGATAGACTTAACCCAAAGAAGAAGGTGTGGGAGAAACTCCAGGTATGTTTCTTTATGTATGTTTAACGTTAAACCGCTGTATTTTCCCCCTCTACTAAAGAGCTAACATTTAAAGTACAGACTATAAAATCATGTGTGTTATCTGGTATTTTAGGTTGACCTAAAGATATCAGACGAGTGTGTAGCTCAGTGGAAAGACAAGCAGCTGATGACCAAACTGGGGCAGATCACATGTAAGACGCTCAAAGGAGGGAACATCAGTTAAACACGCAAACGCTGAAGCTGCTCCTGCTCGCCACAGCAACAGTACTTCCATCGAGTCGCCATGGCAGCAGCATCGAGCTTCATCTGGATGTTTCCTGAAGAGTGACGGCACATGATGCCTTGTGTCTTACATGTTTTAAACTCTCTTAGACAAATTCTGAAAACCTGATTCATTACTTTTCCTTTCTTTGAAGTTGTTTAGTGTTACTAGTACACATATGGGGGAAGAAAGGGCCTTTTCAGTTAAAGGACTCTGGTCTTTATAGCTTATTCGTGGAAGTAGCCAATGAAAAATATCTCGGGTTTCCTAAAAGGGACTGAACGTTTCCTTAGTTACCTGTTTTACTGTTTGCCTTCATGGTAAACTTGAACATCAGGACTGTGGCCAATCTGCCAAATCTGCTTACTAAGCATAGTTTTATGGGTTCCCAACATCCTATGTATCTAAAAATCAATATGCCTTGTACTATATGACGGTTGTATTTTGACTAATGTTGCACAGAAATCCAGATCTGAACATTAGTTGTTATAATCAAACCATGCATCATCATCTCTAATGTGTAATAAACACTGGTTGAAGTCTGAGTGAGAATATCATTTGTGATCCGTGAGAAAGTTTTTGAACTATGAACACAGGAAACAGTTTAATACACTTAAATTTTATTTATAGAAGTAATAACTGCACATATTTCTCTATAATCAGCAAAACAGAGATTTTTTTGACCCTGTGTGAGGAGTCCGTGTAATTCACTCATCAATGATTCTGAGAGGGGGAAAGTTTTGTGCAAATATATTGAGCTGTATTTGTTTTCCACCATAAAAAGGCTTACAGAGTTACAGAACATGTATTAAAGTGGACCCATCGTGCTCAGTTTCAGCTGCATGTCTTTATCAATGGATGAAGTAGTTTGCATGATTCACAGTTCAAAATAATAATGATTTTTTTTTTTTTAAAACCCAGGCTTTAATTCATCAACCATCTGAAACAAGTTGTTTTTGTCTCTTTCCCCTCAGTTTAAGCAAACTTTCTCCTGATTGGCTGCTCCTTAACAGGCCTGTGTACTCAGTGCTGTGTGCCTGAGATTCCCCACTCTCACTTACATTAACATCCAAAACTAAAAAATGCCATCTGAAACTGAGGCGTGATGTCTGAGCTTTTGGTTCACAGGGATTACAATAATAGGTCTGCTTTTGAAAACACTGACATCCTGCTCCAGTGTAATGGTCCTCCAGGGCCAGTCACCCCAGTCGTAGCCCTAAAGGTGGTTTTCAGATGAAACAAATTCTTAAATATTTCATATTTGGTAGGAAAAGGTGACTGACAGTGCTACTGGTGAAAACAATCACACATAAATAAATAGGATACTGATGAGCTGGCTTTGCAGTCACCCAAGAATTGCTAAAAAAAAAAGAAAAAAAAGCATCTACTTGATATTTCACCTACTCCCGTATTTAGATGCTTTTATTCTGTTAAGTCTGAACTATTTAGCATATGTTGTTTACAAAAGTGCATCTCGGGAAAACAAAAACACTGAATTCTTAAGTATGCGGCATCCCTTTTTGACAAATGCTTTCCACACCAAAAAGCGTGAATGATGCTAAGCTCAGTAATTTCTTCACTCAGTCTAAGTAAGGAATGGATATCCTGTCCTACAGTGGATGCTTTTGTCAGACAATATTGCAATATATATAATACAAGAGGAGGGGGAAACAGACCATCTATGTACAGAAATGCTTTTTTTCCGAAGACAAGTCATTTTCTCTGAGTTGAAATTACAACTACCTAATGGAACCTCTGGGAGGCGATCTAACACAAGCTAAATATTTGCAATTCAGCCAATGTACAGTGCTTCACCCTGAGGGGCCTCAGTAGGACATAAACTATATTTTTAGAAAAATACTCCAGAATAAAGCTATTTTAAGAAATTGGGAGTGATACTTTTTTTTTTTGCATAAATATTAAGGAAGGCCAATACAGGCTAAGGCTTTTTGGAGGAAATGCACACAAACACTTAGTTAATGTCTCTTAATGCCAGTCAGTCTCTCTTGTGAGTTGTCCTTTTTCTGTTCCTCTGGTATCAGCCTGGTTCTTGTTTAATCACCAAAGAAGTCTTTCAGAACAGTGTTTCAATTGTGTCCGCTGTTACTCTGGTTGCTGGAGGGGGAAGACAAGTGGTGGTTAGACATTATAGCATCACCATAATACAGTTACAGGAACACGCTTGATGAGTATTCCTTCCTAATCTAATCGAATTACTGAGACATGATCACGAGCTTCAGGTTACGGTTAATTAAAGCACATGCTTGCGCATTTAACTGGAGAAAAAAAAAGTCTGTAGGCAAACCAGCAGCATCTGTACTGGGCTTGTGCCGGAGGTGACTCTTATTCTGCAACCTCTGCTTTGCATTCTGCTTTTTCATGGCAAGAGTTGGAAGAGTTATTTATTCATGCTGGTACAGAACAAACCTTGAAGCTGTTGCAAACTCAGCAGCAAAAACACCAATGAAGGCACAAATATAATGATAAACTTACTTGTTGTTTCAGACAGGTTTATTCCACTCCTATGTTCTCCTCCTACTACTGCTCCATTCCCTTTGACATTGACCTCCATCTTTGACAAAGAATTCGGAAGACTCGGTGAAGAGTTGATGCTGCTTTGCGTCGGCTTCTTGGCTACAGGTGGAGGAACTTTATCACACTTCACTCCATCAAATGTAAACACAGCAGCCTTGGATTGATCGGACACTTGCATGAGCTCAGCTGCCAAGCTTTGCTTTAGATTCGCCTGAGCGTCAGGGGATGAGGCAGTCTCTATGACAACCTTTTTTGTGCTCCTAGAGAAGATAAAGCTAGCAGTAGAAGCTGGAGACTTGTGCATGTCATATCCTTCGTGTGATTTCCGTGGCAAAGCTCCTGGGTCACTGACGCAGCTGTATGTCGATGATTTCACACCCAGTTTGGAGGGCAGACCATCTCTTGAAGACATTGCTGCAGTTTTCATTCGTATGGCTTCCTGTAAGCGCATTGAAGGACTGGTCATTGTCACAGAGGATGATTTAATGGCCTGAGGGGGAGATTTCAGTGACAAAGACTTGCGGATGGGTTTTTGAGGAATGTTTTGAGATCCTTGGATAGAAACTGGGGAATTATCCTTAACTGGTGCTTCCTCATTTGTGGACTTGTCCTCTGGCGGACTTTGCACCTGATCTTCGGTCATGTTGACTGATCTCAGGCGAACCATTTGAAGCAGGGAAGGGGTGACAAGAGGTATGTTAGCATCCTCTTTGGGAATGGGAACACTTTTGTGGCGGGAGAGGAGCTCCTTGGTCCTGGCATCTCGATTTGCTAGGCTGGAATGTCTTCTGAAATTAACTCCATGAGTTAAATTATCTGACGGTAGAGGAGGCGCTACAGGCACAGTCAGAGCTGAAAACTGAGTACTGATGGACACAGGGGGATCTTCAATTTGCAGAGAACCTCGCTTCTGGAAACTGCCGGGAGGATCTACAGCTGTGTTTGGTACTGGGCTTTCTGCTCTTTTCATACTTGGTATAAGAGGCGATTCCACTGGTGGAGGCAATACAGTCTCTAAAACAGATGAAGAAATCTCCTCAAAAGCTATAGATTTTGGAACCTGCACGTCAATCACTAGTTCTGTGTCGTTTATAACTGGTTGTGGAACAACTGGGTGCAAATCTGAACTCTGTACAGTCTGCACATTAGGGTTGCCCAACTCTGTGACGCAACCAGCCATCACATCTGGTGCACTGTCGGTTATGATGGATGGAGGAGGAGGTGGAGGAAAGTCAACCTCATCCACTCCATCAAATACAGAGTCCCCTTCCAAAGGAGGTGGTGGAGGTGGCCAGGAGGACTCTACAATGTGGATCTCCTCCTGTACCCTTTGTAAATCATTTGGAGGTGTAGATACTGCTGAGGGAGGTGTTTTCCTTGATAGAGGCGGTGTCGGGTGGTATGCTGGGGGAGGGGTAGGTGGCGGAGAAAACTTATTGATTCTGGGGACCTCTATTGAAAGTGTTTGCATGGACTGGACTTCACTTCTGTCCATCTCAGCCTTGCTCTCGTCAAATAAAGCTGTCACACCTTTCTCTAAAGACATGTAGTTCTCCACAGATATAGTGACCTCTGCTGTGCCACTCGTTACATTGTTCTCTTTCTCCACTGACTTCTCCGCCAAGACCATTTCCCCTTTGTGCAGTAGTGTCATGGGTTTCTTCATGACAGGAGGGGGATCTTTCTTTGGAGTTGTCCCTTGACTCTCTGGCTCCTTCATTACAAAGCTACTACTCTGTTCTTGCTGCTGAACATCTACGCTTGCTTTTCTTTTGTCCTGGACGAAAGATGTTTCTTGTTCTGGATATTCCTTACCCTCCTGCACCACATGAACTCTGTCAGGATGCATTGTTGATAGTAACTCAGGCTTTGCTTGAGTTTTGGACAGTTCTATGATAGGTTTGTCTGTAGCTGTTTGAATTTGATCCAAAACCTGCATCTCTTTCCTAGTTTCAGTCTGGGTTCCTGTGTCGTTACTTGTGCTTTCCTGTACTTGTGCTGCTTTTTGTTTAACATTAGGGCAAGGCCCACAGAGGAGCTCCAAGGTGCGTCTGCTGTGGACCCATGTCTCTGGAGGAGGAGGACATGGTGCTTTGACTTTAGGAGGTGGTGGGATGTTCAATAGCTCATTTACTTCCTCTCTAAAAGTTGAGGTATTGTTCTTCAGTGCAAGGTCTTTTGTAGCTACAGTTGGTGAAGATCCCTGTGGAGGCTGATTTGAGCTACACACAGAAACTTCTGTATTGGCAAGCTCAGATGTTCCAGATGATAAAGACGTAACTGAGGATGAAGGAGATGCTGCTGAGGATGAGGCTCGCGACGCTGATCTTTCCGGCTTGACTGGTTTCTTCTTCTGCTTCTCTGGGGAGGTTGGGGAGATCCCTTTTGGAGAAAGTGTTGGCGTGCCACTCTGACTAGAATAACCACTAGATGGAGAAATGGTCCGTTCAAATTTCCCATCCTCTGGTGGAACTTTCTGTAGGGAGGAACTAGATTCTGGAGATAGCCCATCTTCATTTGAAGATGCCTTAGCAGAACTCAGAGGATTGGTGGAAGAATCTGGAGAGCTTGACCTAAGGAAGTTTGATACATCTTCGGGTATCTTAGTGCTATTTGTAGAAACCAACTTTGTCTCATCCTCTGGTACAATATTCTCTCTAGTAAATGTCACCTCCCCAGAAGCAGAGTCATTAAGACTTTTGTTATCCACAATAACCACCCTGGAGTTACCTCTAATCTTATTACTGTGCAGAGAGTTTGATCTACGTGGTGGTGCTGGAGGTTGCTTGGTCTTCATAACTGAAAGGCTACGTTTCTTTTTATTCTTTGCTTCTTCTCCAGCAGCCACCGCCACCGATTCACCAGATTCTGTTGCTGGTCTTGTAACAAGGTTTTCACCTTTACCGCTAGGGCTGCTAATCGCATGAACAGAGCTACGGAAACTAACAAGGTCCTGATCCCCAGCAGTTTGTTTGGTTTGCCCATTTAGACATACTCTCTGTGAAGAGTT